CCTTCGGTATAGAGGAATTTCAGGAGTAGCCTGAAACTCCATCTTCTCACTGCTAAGCCCCGCCTTCTTCCTCCAGTTGAAGCTTTTTACAGACTAAAGATGTTTCCACCACTGGCTCTGTGGTCAAGGAATAGCTCTTTCCACTCCTTCGATTCCTTTAGCCTCATTTGGTAGGTCAAAAATGCTTTGCAATTCTCTTAGCTACTGTTTTATTTATTTTATTGTTCTACTCTTTTTTTTTAATTACATTTATAGCCCAAATTTCTCCAGTACTTCAAAGCAGTATCCATAAAGGGGATTCTGGGACTTGAAGTCCATTTTCAAGCTGCTGAGATTTAAAACATGGGTTTAGCATTAGGATAAGAAGATCGAAGCCCTGGACCAGTGATGGGAAACCTTTTTTGCCTTGGGTGCCAAAACTCGCGTGCCCACCCCCATAATTTAATGCCCCCTCCTGCACTGTGTCCCCTGCGCAGGGGTCCCCCGCTGCCCCAGGTATGCAAGCACCATTTTCTTGGAGCCTGGGAAGGGTGAAAACATCCCCACCTCCCGGAGGCCCTTTGAAGCTGGAAACAGCCCATTTTCCGACTTCCGGTGGGCCTGGTAGATCTGGTTTTCGCCCTCCCCAGGTGCCAAAGGCTTTCACGGAACCCTGGGAGGGCAAAAGCGGCCTCCCCCACCCCCCCAGAGGCCAGAAACGGGCCTAGTCCTACATACATTCACTAAGCAACATTTTTATGATGTTATCCATGTCCGACTCTTGCCGATTCTATGGGTCAGGTCTGTCCACATCCATGGTGGTATTCAGCTGGTTTGGACTGGTTCAGGCAAACCAGTAGTGGCGATCTGCAGGTGGACCTGCCCCCTCGCCCCAGTGCTATGCCATCCTATTTAGCCACGTTTTCTAAGCCACACGCATATGTGCCAGTTGCATGGGTGAGCAATGCGCATGCGCAGAAGGCTGCACACATACGCGGAAGGTGTGCTCGCAAAGCAAGCATGTAAAATTATGTGAAACCCTCCTCTGCTCCACGTCTTCTGATCTTGTATCCCAAAGTTGAATTTCTGATGGCAGTTGACCAACAGGTGCAAAAATAGAAAAAAAGGAAGATTTCATAAGAGGAAAACTTTGACTGCATCTAAACTTAAGTGAGCTCGTAGGTTGAATAGATTCTGATCTCACATTGAACCTTTCCAAATGTTCCCCTTGCTACAACTTTTCCAGATCTTCCTTTTCACACACATGCAGATGGGGAATAAAATAAAAGAGGGAACAAGCCAGGATTATGGTCATTTTAACTTCTGTTCCCTTCAAAATTTTGCCTTAACATACTACCTCTACATAATACAAAATATATTGTGTTCACATTTTTCCTTTCTTTGTCTAATTGAATTGTGGGGATGGGTTTCTTCTAGCAAATATTACGAAAGAGAGGCATTATTGGCAGATCCAGTATTTGGACCCATCTTGGCCTGTCTTCTAGGTAAGTATCCTTCCTAAATGTTGTTGTTGTTAGTTGTGTAGTCGTGTCCGACCCATTGCGACCCCATGGACAACACTTCTCCAGGCCTTCCTAGCCTCTACCACCCTCTGGAGTTCATTTAAGCTCACGGTGACTACTTTGGTGACTCCATCCAGCCACCTCATTCTCTATCATCCCCTTCTTATGCCCTCAATGTTTCCCAGCATTAGGCTCTTCTCCAGTGAGTCCTCATTAGGTGGCGAAAGTATTTGAGTTTCCTCTTCGGGATCTGGCCTTCTAAAGAGCAGTCAGGATTGATCTCCTCTAGGACTGACAGGTTTGATGGCCTTGCAGTCCAAGAGACTCGCAGGACTAAATGTCCTAAATGTTACTTGTATGCAATTTTGAAGAACTCAGTTCCCCATGTTGTTTTCCAAAGATGTTTGCAAAAATTAAAACATGAATCCCAAATGTAATACAGTTGCACAAAAGGAATTGTGTGTGTGGTGGTGGTGGGCTGTTTGTGAATTGGTATGGTTAATCCAATATTTCTTAGAGTTCCCTAAACTATTTTGTAAGATTGTGTAAGTTTCAGAATAAAATATATTAGAAAGCTTTTGGAGAATATAAAATGTACCTGTTCAAGAGAAAGATTTAAACTTCTATATTCATTCACTGTTTTCATACACTTTTTCCTGGAAATCCAAAATTTTTGTGGAGGTCCTCGCAAATTTTATCTCCAACACAGATCTGTCAGATTGGACTTCAAAATATTTTAGTTGGCCCAGTGTCATCCAGTGAGCTTTGTGGTTGGATGGGATTTGAACATGGGTCTCTCCAAACCAAGTCCAACCCATTAATTGTTACATTACAGTTAGTCCTTGACTTACAACCATTCGCTTAGCAACTGTTTGAAATTTCAACAGCACTGAAAAAAGTGCAACTTTTGCAGCTTTCCCATGGTCATTATTTAGGTCAGAGGTGTCAAACTCCCAGTGTCATGTTGTTGTCACATGGCATATCGCACCTTTCCCCCCTCTTTGCTAAAACAGTTGGGCGTGGCCAGTACATGATGCATCTGGGCTGTGGGCCACAAGTTTGACACCCAGATTTAGGTGCATGGCAACTGGCATATATTCACAATGATTGTGGTGTCCTGGAGTCATGTGATTTCCATTTGCAACCTTCCCCGCTGGCTTTTGACAAGCCAAGTCAATTGGGAAACCTGGGTTCACCTAACATCTGTATGATTCACTTAACAATTGTGGCAACAAAGTTTGTAGAACTGGGTTTGACTCTTAATAGCCACCTCGCAGTCGTAAGGACTATCTATACACTGTCTAGCACAGAGGTCTTCAAACTTGGCAACTTTAAGACTTGTGGACTTCAGTTTCCAGAATTCCCCAGCCAGCATAGCTGACTTGAAGCTATGCTGAGTTAAAGTCCACAAGTTTTAAAGTTGCCAAGTTTGGGGACCCCTGGTCTAGCACAAAGAGGAGATTTAAACTATAAATGAACTATAGTTTCATCTTCTTTTCCTCTCTTAGAACTTGGGTGTCTCATATATCCTTGGGGACAAGTCAGAGAAACCTCTGGATTTGACATTTAGAAAAACAGACAATCAATGCCTATTGTTTCCAGCATTTGGGATTTGAACCTAAATGTATCCCTCCACCAAATAGAGCCTAGTTTCAAGATTGACTTGGAGGAGGGCAAATGGCAGAATCTGGGGGCGGAATTAAAAGATGGATTAGCCTAGAATCCTTTCATAGCAACAAGTGACCTAAATCTAATCCCCCCATGAATTCCATGAACCCTTAGCTAACTCCAAGCAGATGTTAAGTATTAGTTGAGAAGATTTCTACACATTAGCTTTTTAGCAATAAATCAGTTTAATTAGACCTTCAGGTATGGATCTGGTCTTTCAAACCTGACACCACTAAATCTAAGATAGGCAAAGCTGGAGGATCTGTAGGTGTTGCTGATTGGCAGCTTCTAACATCCTTCCTCAGTAGCTGTGAGGCTGAATTATAGACCCATGGCTTGAAAATCAGCCAGATTTCCCCCAGCATCCTGCCCAGAGGGAAATTAAAATTAGCTGGTATAGAATTTCAGGCATTTTGTAGTTTAATTTATGCCTCACTTCCCAGCTGTTCACCACTTTTACCACCCTGCAGCTGAATAAATTCATAGCTAGTTGAGTTCAGTCAATATTTTTATTTGAAAAGATGGGGAGGGCATTTTGTTGTTCTCAAGGTTCAGGATTGGTCTAGCAGGGACCAAGATGGCCTTCCCTCCTCTTCCAGATACACAAGCAGTTCATTTTTGAAACAAAATGGCTGCTGTAAGAGACACAGGCCTGACCACCAAATGTTTTGCTGACATTTCCAGATCTGGTATTGGAACTTCTTCTTTGATCGAATGACAGGGCCAACCCTGAGCTACCAACTCAGGAGGGAAAGAAGGAGGCAAAATCTATTTATCATTCCAATCAGCATCTTTCAAGTCTTAGCAACTTTAAGATGTGCGCACTTTAACTCCCAGAATTCCCCCGGCCAGAATTCTGGAATTTAAAGTCCATATTAACTGCCATGGTTGAGAAACACTGGTTTAAACGAACGGTTGTTTACTTGAGGATTGGTCACCCAAACTCAATTTTTAGGCCTCTTTGGGGAACGAGAAGCATGTGACTCCATTTTCCATTTTTTTTGTCTGGCTTCCAGTTGGACCTTGCGCCCTGGATTATACCAAGCTGAAGACGGCTGATCACTTCTGGACAGATCCCTCAGCGGACGAGTTGGTCCAGAGGCATCGGATTCATGGAACTCATAATCGCCAAGACTCTCCTTCCAAACGGCCAGCCCTAGGAGTAGGTGATTTCTTCTCTTTTGATACAGCTTGCCTCCAGAATGCCCCAACACTGGAAGTCTTTAAGGAGATGTTGGATAGCCATTTGTCTGAAACGGTATAGGGTTTCCTGCCTAGGCAGCAGGGGTGGGTTTCTCGCCCCGTTCCAACCGAACCGGTTGGAACGGTGCCGGCGGCGTCCTCGTGCACGGGCGCAGTGCACGCATGCGTACTAGCGTCTGTGCGATGCTCCAGCTGCTCCTAGAGGATCACGCAGCATCTGTGTGAATCCTGCGCATGCGTGGAAGCGCAGAACTCGTCAAAGCCGGGTAAGGAGCGCGGGCGGGCTGGCGGGCCCTTCGCCGTTCCCGGAAGTTACTTACTTCCGGGTTCGCTGACCAACCGGTTTGCGGGGACCGCCGCGAACCGGTTGAAACCCACCTCTGCTAGGCAGGGGGTTGGACTAGAAGACCTCCAAGGTCCCTTCCAACTCTGCTATTGTATTGTATTGATATCTCTCAAGTCTTGTTTTTTTTAATTAATATTGGAATATCGTGTTTCCCTGAAAATAAGGCAGGATCTTACTTTCTTTTGACCCCCGAAATAAGCACTTGGCCTTATTTTTGGGGAGGTCTTATTATTTTTGAGGTGCAGGGTTCACCTCAAGGCTGCTGCTGTGTTGCAATATTTTTGGGGAGGGCATATTTTAGCGCATGAGTTCAAAAGCCCGATTGGGCTTATTATCTGTGGAGGTCTTATTTTCGGGGAAACAGGGTATAGGTACTGCTTTTTCATTTCTTGTATTTCAGAATGTTTTGTAATAGCAGCAGTATGATTTTATACAGGCATTTTCAGAACATCAAGTGGTGGAAACAGACAGTGAAGAAGGTGTGCAAACCATTTCCAACTCAAACGGATTTGAATCCAAGCACCCCATTTCGATCAGACACGGGCTCTTGATCATTTGGAAATATTCTGAACTCAAAACATCTCTGTTTTGACCTCAGAATACTCCCAAACCAGGAAACAGCTTGTATTGTGCTCAAAAATGCTGTTTTGCACTCTGGATGGGATATTCTATTATCTCCTGTTTATGAATGGTTTCGCACAGCTCCGCTAATATTAATTACCAGGATTTACTATATATTGCTATAAATAGGTTGCTGAATTAAATGGCCAATTCTGACCTTTGTCACTTTGAACGTGGCATTGTCATATAATTTATCTTTTGAATCTTGATATAGCAAGAATTAGTTCTCATAGCAGCTCTTGGTGTCTGCATGGGACTTGTAATTTTTCTCTGAAATCTACAAAAACCTCCCTTTCTTTAGAAAGGGAAGTGATTGATGGGTCACCACGATGTAAAAGAAAGATGTTGAGATCCTAGAAACAGTGCAGAGAATAGTAACAAAGTGATAAGATATATGGAGGCTAAACTATATGAGGAATGACGGAAGGAACTAGATACGTCTAGTCTAATGAAGAGAAAAGCTAGGGGTGATATGATAGCAACCTTCAAATACTTGAGGCCGCTATCATGGGGAACGGGGTCATCCTATTCTCCAAAGCACCTGAGGACAGGACAAGAAGTAAAAGTTGGAAGATCATTAAAGAGAGATCCAACCCAGAACTAAGGAGATAGTTCCTGAGAGGGTGAAGAATTAACCAGTGGAACAGTTTGCCTCCAGAGGTTTTAGGTGCTCCATTATTGGAGGTTTTCAAGAAGGGATTGGACAGGCGTTTGTACAGAATGGTATAGAACAGGGATGGCTAACCTTTTTGTCATCGTGTGCTGAAACCACACATGCATGCAACAGCACATGCGTACCCGTGCCCGCACCCATAATGCAATGTCCGTGTGACACCACCCACTCACCCTGTCCCCTGTGCATGCCTGTGCGACTCCCCCCACATGCATGTGTTGGCCTTCCAGCTTCAACGGTCCTTGGAGGAAGCTAGCTATCTTGACCCCTTCCAGTCCGGCTTCAGACCTGGTTACAGCACAGAAACTGCTTTGGTCGCATTGACCGATGATCTCTGGAGAGCCAGGGATGGAGGCCATGCGACCTTCCTGTTTCTCCTCGACCACTTGGCGTCTTTCGATTCCATCGACCATGGTATCCTTCTGCGACGACTGCGGGAGGCACTGTTTTACAGTGGTTCTCCTCCTACCTCTCGGACAGGT